CACATAGGTCATTGTGATGCTCAGTAGAGGGCACCGCACAAGACACATTTAGTATAGAACCGTCTCTCGTTGCCTTAAATGTTCCTTGGCACTCACATACGTATAAACATACGTTCCTATAGGATACAGACTAGAGTAATTTCAAATTGATCAGAAACTGTGACCAACTCCCTCCCGCAGACCCACGCTAGTTGCGATGTAGCGCTAGTGGCCGTCTGGCTAATTGAGAAAAAAACACATCATCGTTCTCACTGATGCATTGTGTTTTTTGTACCTTACTGGCTCCCTAGAGTGAGGTTGACAGCTGTTCAGAGGTGGCGCTAGACCGGGTCACGCCAACGTCCTTTTTTGCAGGGTTCCCGGAAAGAGGAATATTAAAGAGAGCGCGGTGACCAATAAGATGGTCAAACAAGCCTCGAAAAAGCAAATAAACTACGGGACAACTTTGAAAGCTTAAGGACTCTATGACCGAGCCAATGTTTCAAATATTACATATACTAAAAAGTTCTCTCTGAAGAAGCTGTCGAGGAGACCTAGGGGATGAATCGACTCTCCAATTTTATATAGCCAATTCCTAGTTTCCAGATTGGTATACCACTTTTCACCTTACCTGGAAAAGATAACGACAGTGAAAGCATCAGGCTCCTCAATTTTGTAGTAAACAGTAAGTGATTCAGCAGATATTACAATGACTTTGTGCAATAAGATCTGTTAGAGGGACAATCTGCTTCCTGGCTCTCAAAAATGGCTTTTCCAAATATGCCTCCAATGAGTAAGAAGTCTTCACATACACCTTCCAACCCTAAACCAACCTACCGTAGATCCACATGTCACTCTTCCTCATTCGCCGGCACGCACCTGGAGGGGTCTCACACCATCTCATTTCTATACTTATTGTTAACACTGTGGTTGTTTTTGTTTCTGTTGCCAACACTTTGCTGTACCAACCACAGGATCACAGCACATCTCCAGCGATTGCAAACACCTTAACGAATATACCGAATAGCAGCACTTCAACAGTCCAACGATGCTGCTACAGTGCATTCGCACTAATTTCGCACAGCATCAATCCTCTAACGCTATTTACGCCATACCAACTTTTGTATATAAGTATGATTGCTGATACAGTGTTGAGGTTCCTCATTCCAATTTAGAGTCAACTACATCGCGCTCAATGTTTTTTGCCCACTCTCACGCACATTTTTTTCCACAAACCTTTCTTTTCTAGCTGGAAATGAGAAAATTGGAAATCTGGATGGAGTGCGCTACTCATTCAAGCCACATGCCTTTTCTCATAGTCACTTTACCCAGCAACAGCAGAAAAAAAAATAGGAAAATAAACATTGGCAAGCGTCGCGCCAGCGACAACATGGCATTGTTACTCAAATTACCAACGGCTTTTGCGGGGAAAGCGTAAAAATTCCTTGTTTTATTACATTGCATACCTTTGGGAGTCACGTACCCGCTCACATATGTGCATAAAGACAAACCAGCTCATTGCATAGTGTCATTTTCACACTCCTTCACCTTTGATGCCACATCATCCTTACCGAAATTGCACTGCGCCGCCTTTTGTGCCCGCCACTTGACACCTTCAGCAAGTTCGGTTGCTTGATTGGAGCTGCAATGTCGGTGTTAATTTTTTATTCTTTATTTTTTTTTTTTCGTCTTCAGCGCCAAAAAGCAGCAACTCTTCATTATGTCTGCAACCAAAGGCTATATTTAAATATATGTTTGTTGTTGGCGCTCGTGATGTTCATTGCTTCCTGCGCGGAAATTGGAATATAGCACGTGATCACTCACGCCACACACTGGCGAATTCATCTTCATTTTCAATTTCATTTGGCGAACTTTTGATTGCTGCTTTCTGTTGCTGTTGCTATGGTGTTTGGCGTTTCCATATTTGTTTGCGGCTCAGCATTGTCTCCCTCTTTGTTGACGTTGTAAGAGCGGTAGAGTTGTGGCAAACTTGTAATGAAATGTATTTTTGCTGTTTTCGCCAACTCCAGCTTTACATGCTTTTTTCTCAACGGCCTTTCGGTGAGTCCTTAGTTGTCCCCAAGCTCGAATAATGATATGCCCAAACAACACGCAGTTTCAACGGGATCGGGGAGGTCGGAGTGAGATGTTAGTTGAGCGAGTTTAAGCGGAAAAGTTATGAGGTCTTTGGTGTCATAAAGAGAACGTACACAAGCCGGACATGTCTTGGGTATTTGGGGATGGAGTCTGAATAAGCAATTCTGCTGCAGTACTCAAACCTTAGACCCGATAAAAATAGGTGAGTCTCTCCTGGCAGCTGACCTCTTCCATCTGCGACGGGTGCTCAATGAACTACGATTTCGCCATGTATGGGGTGAAAGTTTAATTGCGGTGTTGGCCTGTTGGTACAACATTGGTTCCAGGGGTTGTGCGATGTAGATCTACATCTCTTCCGTGAGTTCGTAGAGATGTCTTCTGACGTACGCAGGAGGTGGTTTTGCTCCAGAATGTGCCTGTTCGGATGTGGTAGCAGCAGTATAGGATTTTTTTCTGAGCATGAACATGTGCTCCTTTACGGCGAGCACTGAGACCTTTGCTGCCGGGAGTGTGGTGTTCTGACAAGCGAGAAAGAGCGGCGAGAAAGTCATTAGCTTTCAAACACAAGTTATCAATGTCATTGCCTGACGACCGCATCAAACAATCGTCAACCGTAGCTGAAAAGCTTCGAGGTGTTGAAGTTAAACATTAATGGAGAATGGGCACCCGTGGTTTAAATCTTCTAAGCTTCATCGCATGCTGGGTTGGTACTGGAACTTTATGGAGGCCGAGTTCAGCCTAAGCTGGTTGCAGGTGAAGTACATGAGTAGTAAGACTTGGGGGTCTTCACTACTAGAGAAAGGAGAATTTTCGGACGACGTGGCAAACGACAAATTGACCATGCTCTCAAAAAATATAATAATAAATAGGTACTCGCCACTTGTTAAATCTGTCAGTGGTAAACTACGACTTTTATTGGAACATTAATGAGACATCGGATGATTTGGCATAGGGTCAACACATTTTAGTCTTGCCTAATGTGAGCAACCGTACTTCTTTCGGAAGTACAGTATTTCTTTTTTAGCTCTTGTACTTCGTACAGTCGAAGTACAGTCAAATGTGCTTATTTACAATATTTTGTGCAGCAGGTCCTGTAGTTCTCCGATCTTCTGGACGATCGTCACCGATGGCATCATCATGGAACTGGAAAAAGTGGGATGTCGGGTGATCACCTATATAGATTATGTGGACGATTTCTAAACAACCTTTTTTTCTGCCTCAAGGTTAAATTAAGCAGGTAACTAGGTGGGCGATCAACGGCGGCCTCGCAGTAAATCCCAGCAAAACGGAACTGGTCTTGTTTACCAGGAAGAACAATATACCTGCTTTGGCCCTTCCTCGAGAGAGGTTGCTTTGACTTCGCTCTGGACACATAGATTACAGCGCCTCCGAAATGCTTCCCAGAAGCTCCTTCTCTACCTATATTCCCTCAGGAGAGGACTGGGTAGGGCGGGGTTACTAAGGCTTCCGGACTTCTGCATTGTCTTTCAGGTGGAAAAATCTTCCATCAAGGAAGCGGTAGACTCACTGCTAAAGGGTGTGATGGTACATTAGAAATCGGTAAAGGAATATCTGACTTATTTATCCATCGCGTCAAGGTACTTCTTCTAGTTTAGGTGCCGGGCCACAGTGACATCGCGGAAAACTGCGTGGCTGGTGACCTGGCGTTATCCCCACATAAGGAGCAACTAGGGAAGCCTCTGTCCTCCTGCGGTACACTCTTAGATGGCTGTGCCTAGTGTGAGCTCGATGAGCGCTAGACACGCATACTTCGTACTCCCGATAATGAAACTGCATACTTTACTAAATACCTAATAAAATGGACAAAAGAAAGGCATTTTGAAATACATTTTGCAGCGCAAGCAACGATCAACTAGTCTTGCCAGACCGGTTGCTGAGGGAAGTATGCGGAAACCCGTAAATTTTAAAATATTTTTTAAGGTCGATTTAAATTCTTTCCTCGATGCACTGAATGGTCTAGACACAATCTCGCTGGTAGCTTCCCTAATTTAACGAACGGATGAAAATCAAAACTAATCTTTGTAGCCGTTTGATAAGAGATGCGAACTACCACTCCGTGAGGCCTAGTTTTCATCTGTGGTACGAGCGACATCTAAAAATTTAAAGTTTTTAAAGTACAACTTCTTTGTGCTCGGTGCTGCATACCCCGCTGGCATGAATAAGCGACAGAAATAGAATAAGATTTAAATTGAGATTAATATAACTATTAACTAGGATTAAGATTAGGAGTAAGAATATAATAAGATTAATATGATTAATATTAAGACTAAGCCTAAGATAAATATTGAGATCAGGATTAAGATTAAAACCCAGATTAAGATTAAAATTAAGAACAATTTTAAGATTAAGATTAAGATTATAATTAAGAGTAAGATAAAGACTGCGATGATGAGGTCTTATTTTTAGATTCCTATTAAAGATTCATCTGTTCTAAAGTATCCTACTATATGTAAAATGGTTAGTAATTACTTAGGTATAGATTCCAACTTGGGACCTTATTTTGGTCAGAACTGTATTTTCCAATATTCCAATAAAATTAAGTATACCCAAAAGTACACACATATGTATGTCCACCTCAAATGGATATTAATTACCCAACCCAATATGTCCTAAATTTTTTACACAACACTCATGAGCTACCATCTCAACCGCATTCATTTCTTCTGTGGCAGAAATAACTTGAGCTCACTAACAGTAAAACAACTTTTCACATCCTACGGCTTCAAAGCCACGCTGCAATGCTCCAGAAGAACACACGTTCCAGCACAAAATCTAATCAAATTAGAGTGTCAAATTTCCAACTTATTTATTGCACAACACAGCAAGGCGCGCACATTCACATTGCAACGCCCACAAGCAAAAAGTGTTTTATCTTCCACACTCACGCCCAATTTGGGGCTATTTTATTTGCAACCGCTGCCACCCACAAGTAGTAGCTGTAAGCAACAGTAGCAGAAATAGTATAAGCATACGCAAAATAGCAGCATAGTTAGTTAAATAGTAGCAAAAGTTGTACCAACTCACCTATGCAGCAACACACAAACACATGCATACATACATACATACCTAAACAACTCCTCATTGTGCCTTCACTCGTTCTCACGTGCGCTTTCTACTTTTCTAATCTGATTCACAGTCGTCACTGCGGGCAGACAGTTGTGCACAGGAAAAACTCCCGCCAATGTCACCAGCTAACCTCAAAGTACCGCAATAGCATTTCTATTTCTATGTACTTCTACGAGTATTTTCATTTTGCACTGCACAAATATTCTAGTCACGTGCTTTGCCACACGCCACAGCACGCAGTTGAAGGCGGCAAGAAGTAAGCAAGCGGACCGTTTGAAGTGGCAAGGGAAGGAGTGTCGTCGCTATATGCAAATTTGTAGTTGGAAATGACAACGCGCCCCGCCTCCCCCCTTCCCACACCCTTTCAACTTGCTTTATCATCTACAGTTATGTTTTACTCGCAGTTACCTACAACGCAACTTTTCTGTACCAAGTGACTTTTTTTATATTCTTAATTTTTTTTTTTTGCTAAGACAAAATTTAATTTTTGTTTAGTGTCAGTGAGGCGTGTCAGTGTGGCAATAAGCAGCAAACAGAAACCAAATAAAGTGCAGTGCAAGCACAAATGGGCGCTGAATGTGTAGAAACAAATAAAAAAGTGGCCACATTGTACAGTCTCTAACGGTAATGATGTTAGAAAAATTTTTTGTAAGCGTCAGTTCAGTGTTGCCACTTTGACAAATAAATTAAGGAGAAAAAAGAACGAAACAAATGTTGATTAGATTTGCATTTTGCGTGTGGAACGTGCGAATTTTAGTAAGAAGCCATTTGCCTTTGCTGTTTTTTGTGGTGAATTATGTGACATTAGAATTGCACTTAGAATCAGTTGAACCGAATAGGAATTAAAAGTTTAAACTTTTGCTGATAGATGTAGGCTAGGCAGAAAAGTGTGCGTACAGGCTTCAGTTGGTGAAATACATAATTAAGAAATTTCGAGAGTAATTTAAAAAGTTAGTGACTTTTTACAAAAACAAAACTTTTCAGCATAGAAGGGTTTAAGTCTTCCATAAGGCAATTGTCAATTCTGGCAACTATCTTGAAAGCTATTCACTTTCTTTCGAAACCTAAAGAAAGAGCTGCTAACGAGGGGGTCTTGGCGTTATGCTGTTAGCAATAAGTTTCTCTCTATAAAACAATTCAAAGTTTAAACCACAAGAAAATTTATATAAACGAAAATAAAGAAAACATAAATAAAAAATATTTTAAAATTTGCTTTTGTTATTTATAGCCTTATAACAATTTTATTCAACAATCGCCGGCCTCAAGCTCTATAAAATGGTTGAATGAAATTTTAAAACTTATTTTTTCTTCTTAAAAATAGAATATTTATAAATTAACTTAGAACGAGAAAAAAAATTAAATAAAACAAGGAGAAAATTAGTGCTTAAAAATTAAATAAAACAAAAAATTTTTATTTAAAAAAAACTAAAAATTAAGCGAAAATTAAATTAAAAAAAGACAAGTTATAAAATAAGATCTTAAAAATTAAATTAAATATAAAATATAAAATTTTTTCTTTAAAACAATAAAATATATAAATTTAAAAAAATAATAATAATTAAGAAAAAGTAAACGAATTAAATTAAACAAAAGAAGAAATAAATAAAATGAACAAAAGAAGAATAAATAAATGAAATAAAATAATAATAATATTTTTCTTATTTAAAGAATGAAATCTAAAAACTAAAAGAAAATTTTGTTAAAAACAGAAAAAAAATTTATTTTTTTGTAGAACAATAAAATCTGAGCATTAAAAAGAAATTAAATTGAGAGAGGAAAAGATTAAATTGAAAAAAATAAATAAATTAAATTACAAAATACCTATTATTTTTTTTAAACACAAGAGAAAATTGCACTAAAAAAATAATAAAATCTTAAAATGAAAAGAAATTAAATTAATTAAAGAAAACCCAATTAAATTAAAAAAATTTCCGTCATCCCTTGTCAAGTTTGGTTTGCAGACAAACCAAAATAAATTATATTACCGCCCTGTCCGAAAAATCAACCAACACCAACACATAAATTAAACGAAATAAAAAAGAACTAAAATAAGTTCCTAAAAATTGAATGAAATTCAACAAACACTTTTTTCTAATTTAAACAATACAATCTAAAAATTAAAAGGAACTTAAACTAATAAACTTAATTAAAAAATTAAAAATAAAACAAGTTCCAAAATATTAAGTGAATTAAAAAAAAATATTCTTTGTAAACAAAAAAAAAAACTAAACGTCAAAAGAAAATGAAATTGAAAGAGAAACAAGTAAGAAAGTCTAAGTTCGGGCGGAGCCGAACATTAAATACCCGGCGCAAGTATTAAATATGTTTTTTCACCTTTCCGAAACCTTCCGCTAGATGGTAAGCCGGGGTGTATCAATTTTGAGTAAATTAGCGTCCTTCAATTTCGAAATATTGAAGTTTCAAGCATTTCTGAAATTTACCGTTATATGAGAAGCGGCCGTTATTTTAGTCCGATTTCAATAATTTTCAACGTTTTGCTTATATGTGGCAAGCAGAATAACCACACCGAGTTTGGTACAAATTGGTAGAACGGTTACCGATATACATATATGTGATCATAAGTGGGCGGTGCCATGCCCATTTTCCAAAATTTTACCATAGACGTATTTCTTGGTAAAGAATTGTTGCAAGTATCAATTTTGAATAAATTAGCTTCAATATTTACTGATTTATCGAAGATTTTGTATTTCTCTAAATTACCGTTATATGGGATGTGGGCGTGGTTATTGTCCGATTTTAAAAAGTTTCGGCCATTTGGTATGCTGTACCAGGGCCAACAACTGCGCCAAGTTTGGAAGAAATTGGTGCAGCGGTTACGAAGATATACACATGTAACCATAAGTGGGCGTGGCTACGCCCATTTTCCAAAAATTTATAATATTCTTATTTTTCGTCGAAAAATTATTGTAAATATCAATTTTGAGCGAATAATCTCCAGTAGTTACTAAAATATCGTAGTTTTCGTATTTCTGAAAATTACCGTTATATGGGAAGTAGGCGTGGTTATTGAGCGATTTTAAAAATTTTCGGCCATTTAGTATGTTGTGCGAAGGCCAACAACTGTGCCAAGTTTGGAAGAAATTGGTGCAGCGGTTACCAAGATATACGCATATAACCATAAGTGGGCGTGGCTACGCCCATTTTCCAAAAATTTGTAATATTCTTATTTTTCGTCTAAAACTTATTATAAATATCAATTTTGAGTGAATTATCTTTAGTAGTTACTAAAATATCGCAGTTTTCGTATTTCTGGAAATTACCGTTATATGGGAAGTGGGCGTGGTTAAAGTCCGATTTCGCCCATTTTCAATACCAACCTACCTTGGATTAAGGGAAACCTACATACCAAATTTCGTTAAGATATCTCAATTTTTGCTCGAGTTATCGTGTACACGGACAGACGGACAGACGGACAGACGGACAGACGGACAGACGGACAGACGGACAGACGGACAGACGGACGGACAGACAGACATGGCTTAATCGATTTCTTTTTTCATCCTGATCATTTATGTATACATTTGTCTATATCTATCTCGATTCGTTTTGGCTGTTACAAACAACCGTTATGTGAACAAAATTAATATACCCTTGTGCACAAGTGCGCTCGGGTATAAAAATCGAATTTAAAAAGAAAAAATACTCTAAATGAAAATTAAAAATATGTATACATATATTTTTTTAAACAATAAAATTTTAAAATTAAAA